GAAATTCCACCTCTCCCTGCCCTCTGCTGTGGAGTGTGCCATTACGTTGTTGAGGCTCTGACAACTAAAGTGTCTTAAATGGGATTATCAGACAATGCTTCCAGACACACTAATAATGTAAAGGTTTGCCGAGTCACGTTCCAACCACTCAATCATCTCCCCTTTTTGAACCTTCCTGTTTCAATGGAAAACATATCTATTCCCCAGCAAGACTTAAAGGTCTGTCAGCACTGTGTGCAGGCAGCCATTTTGAGAAGTTAATTGGCTTCCCTTTTCTTTTGGAAGCCGCAGGGAGGATGTACCTGAGCTACGCTGTTTTCTACAGATTTATAATCAGAGGCTTAAAAAGGCTCAGAAAGGTGAATTTTGAACAAAGGGAAAGTGTTGAACAATCTCGGCTTGTTTCTTTTGAAGACAAAGAAGGGTGTTATCAGAAGGAACTAGTTTCAGTTAAAGACTATATATGCCACTGCTGGATATCTGCGAGCAGGGCAGCGAAGATTTCATATCTAACGGTTATTTCTTTGATTTAGGGTGCAGAGGAGAGACGGAATAAAAATGAGGGAAGAAAGCAAGTTAAAAACAGAGAGACTGCTGGAGGTGGAAAGATTTCAGAGCACATCTCTCTGGCATTATAATTGATGCAGCCCCAGTATATCTGCAGGACTTGAAAAAAAAGAACTTCTGGGAAATAATTTGTTTAAATTGGTATATAGCACTTTAAAGTGAAATATAGGATTCATGTTCTGTTGAGTTTTAATATACCCATGCCTTATTAACAAGATTTATGTTACCTTTCGTTCCAGACTGCCTGTGCCTGGGCCGGCGGTTACGTTTGGTTTGTGCTTGTGCTTTTGGAAACCAACCGTGGTGGACCATCGTGCTGGGTTCTTTCTGGACGGTTCCTCTGGACCAACTGGGACTTCGCCTGGAACTAGGTCAGCCAGAGAGGGATCACTGCTGCGACGGACATGGAGAGGCATGCCTGTGGAGGGGAGGGTGGAGTACAAGGAAGGTGGAAAGAAAAGGTAAGAGAATGTCAAATATAGAGGGCACAGTTAGGATAATAGAGTCGCAGCAACACAACCACTTGCTGTTTTATTCACATATTGGGTAGATCACTTTCCACTACAGTGTTCCAACTGTGGCACATGTCTGGGCCCACGGTACTTTCTGGTAACCATAAGACCCCCAAAGTACCTCAGCGACTACACTATAGTGGATGTCCACTGAGACATGGGAAGTTGTGAACATAAATAGTTGTGTTACCATGTATGGTATTTTGAACCCCAATGGAAACATTGTTGGCCTAGACATTAAGTCTGAGAGGTTTGTTTGGCTTGAGTCCTGCAATAGTGACATTAATGTACTGCCTTATCATTTTAGCTGAAAAATGACTCAAACAGCTTTATAAAATATAAACATGAGAGAAAATGATATGAATAATTATCCAACCCCTTGCTCAGCCTGGCCATAAAAACAATTACAATCGTAATTAGAGCACCATTACTCATACGTCATGATCTGAATCTCAAGATAAGGGTCATTTTCACATACTGCACTTCTGACTGGCAGTGGTTCTGGACATTTTCCTGGGATTGAAACTAGGTCTCACTGCCAAAATGACCCAAGCCATCAAGCATCCAAAAGAAAGTGTTCAGGAAACACCTGCCCAAACTACAACTACAACTTCGTAATAAGGTTCTCACATTTAATCAAAGCTGCCAAAACAAGTAGAGGGAAGGAAGTTACTCCACACTTCACACTCCTGCTAAAACATTCAGTGAGAAATCCTGTGTCTGTTACACCTTAAGTTTATCTGTGAGCTTGGGTATGAATCATCTGGATTTTCCCAGAAGACCATATGGATTTGTTTATGACGTTCGAACAGCCTGCACTTTACACCCATAATTATGCAAATAGTTGGGTAACCACCTGTCATCCGTCGGCGGATCATGGCAGAGAGCATATGCTGGTGCTAAGCTTCCATCTGATACACCAAAGACATGTCTTAGTGGTGGAAGCGTCGCATTTTAATCATGGCTTACGCTGCGTGCGTATTTAATACTGTGACAAGACAAGGGAGATTTGAATGCAATTGAAAGTGTTTCTTACAACTGCCTGCAGGGTACACGGGAATGAAGAGATTATAATTATGTGACTGAATCCCGATAAAAAGGGGAGATCAACATATGTTTGCGGCTGCCTTTATACTCCAGACTTCAATATTTTGTTAAACAATACTTTTTGGGAGAAATATCTCCACTGACCTATCATTTTTTTTTAAACAGCTAATACATTCTTCTGGGTGAACAGTCTCTAGAATGGAGTTGGCCACACCACTTGCTGACTTGTTAATGACACAATACATGTTTCTCTTTAAGATTTGAGGTAGTTTAAATATTGCAGGTCATTAAATTGAAAATGTGTGTTATAATTCCTTATTGTTGCCAGTTGTACTGCTTTGATAGTGTTTCATGTTCACTTCTAAAACTCCTAGGATGGCTGAGACCATTGGAAAATACTTTTGGGTCACCGTATGTCCAATTCACCACAGCCTCCTCCTCCCACTAGGTGCAGGAGGATTGAATATGCAAATGGCTATATGACATCTCAAAACTTCTAGGAACTTTTTAAGTAGTAAAAACTTTATTTCTCATGAAGGAGTCATCGCTGCAAGTGAATTACAGTTCAGGTAGCTTTTCAAACCACACTTTCACAGTAGCTTCACAACCCTGTGTTAGAAGTTTGATCTTCTTTCTACCCAAACCACTCTGCTGATAAAGTCCATGGCAACCAAACTCACCAGCAGCTTGTAATATGTATTGTTTGTCTCTATTACAAATGTTTCTAATTTGCTTTGGCTGTAGGTTTCATCAAAAGAGGTTTGGAATTGAGTAAAGAAATCCCAGCAAGCAGCAAGACGGCCAGTCATTGTGCGTTTACTCTTAAATTGGGTTGAAGATTCAATAATAGTTTAATAAACTTTGGCCCCTCTGAGTAACGGCTGGTTCACATCCAGTTCAGGGCTCTAATGACGTTCGCCACAGGCAACGGGGGTAATTAACGTCTAGTATTATCATACTGGACATGACACACACTGACACACACAAACTCTTAACTTATGTAATAGAGCTTTTCTTTGTCTGTGTGTGTTAAACAGAGAGTTACACTAAAACCTGCAATGGTGTGTTTCCCAGAATACATCAAGGCTCAGCACTTACTGGACGTCTATATCTGGGTCTTTTGAAACCATGACAACATTGATCTTGCAATATGCAATTTTTTTTACCCATTGTTTGGGACTAACTATTGTATTCTCTCATTTAAAACCATGCTTGAACCAAACACCCACACTACCTGACTGCATGAAATATGCCTATAGTATATGATGTAACGTTATTTAAAAGATAATAAATTATGCCTTAAGGTTTTCTCATTTCATCAGATCCTCTCATTGTTCAGGTTTTCCATTTTCAATTCCAAAACTGTCACATTGAGATACGCATGAGTGACATGTATAAAAGATTGACTTTGTGTGACCTTCTTTTCACTTTGAGTGTGTGCATACACGTTACCCAATCATGTCTGGATATGTTTTGATACCACTGGCATTTTAACATTGACAAGAATAACTTTTTCCCATTAGTGAGGTCTTATCTTTAATAAAGTGCTGATCCATAACAGGTACAAATCCTTACAGATTAACATATGATAAGAGGGCTGTGAAGGAGTATGTGCTTGTTTGTGTGTACTCTGTTAGAAGGTCACTATATGAAGATTCTCTCCCCTCCCGGCTCTCCCTGAACAATTTTCCTCTACTTAATTTGTGATGGGATTATCCCAGCAGTCCGAAGGGTTTGGTTGGTCCCACGTTTAATAACCAGCGCTGCCACTTCAGACCGAGCCGGCCATCGATCCAGGCTGTTTTTCCATTATCGAGGACCTCTCAGAACTGGAGAGGACACCACTTAACATTAACACAATGTAGAGATACTGGGACCGACGGTATTAGAGTGATTGTCCGGACCTAATTCCCGGACCGAAAATAATCTGAAAGGAGAGGT